ATTATTTAAATGTAAAAAAAAAACCCTTCTTTTCCATAGCGAATTTAAACTTTTCACAGAAAAAGGTTGGTCCCTTTACCCACAATTAGCACCAAACATTATTCTTCCTCACTTCAGAGATTCTATCTTGCTTCATTGTCCACCTTTTGTTGACATGGTTACCTCAGCAACAAACAACACTACTTCTTCACCCCCGAAACTTTTCTTCTATTCCTCACACACTGTTTCAAATTCCATTCCAAAATTAGTAAACTACCCTCCCCTACTCTTCATTCATCTTGGGTATCCTGGAATGAAATATGCTAAGGAAATACAAATATTTATTCCCAGTAAAAAGACAGTAGCTCCCCCAAGGATTTGCATTCTCATAGGCAAAGGGCCAAGAACAAATGAAGAATTTTTATGGACTCTGATCCCCATAGCTCACCAATGAGGTCTATCATATCAACAAAGGACAATAATCCTTAAAGATCTACAAAAAAAACACACTAAAAAGACAAGGAAGAGTCCAGAAAAAAAATACACAAAATACAATAGATAAGACTCTGGAATGAATTACAATAGGGTGTAAACAAGTGAGCACCTTATAGACAAGATTATTGACTTGATCAATTTCTTCCTTATTAATTTTCACTGCCTTATATTATGCTGTAATATTAAGATCCAGAAGACACTTCGTATAAAAATATCCTTACAAGATTTTCCCTTTCGCTCAAGTATATGTAAATTTAACATTTAAGCTAAATTGCTAATGAATAATTCTTGTAAAAAGGTTAATGTACAAAAAAAAATCATGAGAACAGGGCAAGGAAGTTAGGTACAAATAATTAATGCATTTGGTCAATTAAAAAATGGAAATCCTGTATTGAAATGTCAGGATTCTTTTAAAAAGGAAATCGAATTAGGAAGCAATTCTGCAGAATAGTTATGTAGAATATTATAAAGGTGAATTTAATATTACTATAGAGTGTAAGGAAGGAAGAAAGCTTCTGAAGCACAGAAAAGGATAATTCTTTTCTTATCTTGAGTCCCTTGGGATTGGGCGGCATATAAATAAAAATAAATAAATAAATAAATAAAATATCTTCTCACACCAAATATGACTTAAATAGTAGCTTCAAAGACTGTATTCCAGATTGTATTTCTGAATTTTAATTTATACATTATATATTAATACAGTTTGTTTAAAGTATCTATTTTTCTCTTGCTCACTTTTTTTCTCTCTTTCTGTATATATGTTTGTATGTGTGTTTGTATGCAGACACATGAGCATGCACAGGTACAAAGAGGTATACATAATTTTGCAAACTATTCAAGAGTGGAGAAGTGTTTAATTCAGCTTTCCTCCGTGCATTCCAGATATAATGGTACTTCAGAAATTGTGGTGTCAATAGACAATAAACTGGACTAAACCACATTTTGGAGGATTACAAGACCTATTAGATGCCATTAGGTTTTGTACTGGGTGGAAAAACTCTTCTATTCATGACCTGTTATTGTAATATCCTCTTTTCCAGAGATGGATGTAAACTAACTTTCAAAGGCAGCAGATATCTTTGGAGAGATTGAGAGATGAGGTGATCTTGATAGATCACAACTTGAATATGAGCCATCAGAATGATGCAACTTTTTTTTTAAAAAAAAAAAAAGCAGACTTCATCAAAAGAAACACAGTGTTCAGATCAAGTGAAATGTGGTTCTTCTCTGCTATGTATTGGTAAGATCAACAAAGAATCCAGTTCTGGCTTCATGTTTAATTGAAGGATTTTAACCAACAGAAACAGATCAGTGACAGCAACTAAGAAGATAAAGGGCCTGGAAGGAAAAAAAAAACAAGAAACATGGAGAGATTTGGGATATGTTTAAGAGAAAACTGTGGGAAGACTTGGTAACTCTCCATGTATCCAAATTGCTGTTATAGCACAGAATTGTTCAAAGGTGTTTCAGAAAAAAATCAAGCAATAGTGGGCTTAAGTTACAAACAAACAGATTTTGGACAGACATCAGGAAAAAAAATCCTAATGATAAGAGCTATTTACAGTGCAACAGATTGACTTAGAAAGTGATACTTTTCTTTGCTGGATGTGTTTAAAGAGGCTGGATGGACATCAATCAGAGATAAAATAAGAGATTTCTCTGCACTAAGCAGGAAGTTGGACTGGATGTTCTCCAAAGTCCCTTCCAATCTTTAATTCTATGATTATATATGCAGGCCCCCATAGAGGGGAACAAAAATGTATATGGCTGCCCAATTAATGCTCAGTGATTCCAAGTGGTTTACAAAGATAAAAAAACTCAATATAAAAATAACTAAGAAGCAATAAGCTCCACTCCCCTGCACATAACTATCAGATAAGTCATTTGATAGCATCCCACTCAGGTGTCCCCAGGCCCATTGGCAAAACCAGGTCTTCAGGGCTTCGCGAAAGAGTGTCAAAATGGGACACTCTTATGCATGTAGTATCTGAATTTGAATGGAGATTCTATAGTCCACTTTATACTATTGGACTGTAGCTCTCATCACTCCTAATCCTGTTTTAGCATCTGAGATTGGAAGATGCTAAACTATTTATGATAGACACTTCATTCTAAAGCTTTTTTCATCTATTGTCTTACTAACAGAACTAATAAAGAGCTCCTATAAAATCTTCTGCTGAATCCATACCATATTTTAACACTACTTGAGGCAACAGTCTTTGGCTGGATTTACAAATTGCACTATGGCATGTTTCTGTTCATTATGATTTATTGAATAAACCACAGCAGTCTTTGTCTACAGAATAAGCTAAGCCAAATCCAAACAAATGTGATCGTACTAAATTGTAAGGTAGTTTCCTTGGGCTAATTCAAATTCTGTGTGGATTTGTTAATGGTTGAGTATAAACCCAGCCTTTGTGGAAACTGCCTTACAATGCCACATAAAAGACCTGTGGAAGAAATGTTTCCATCTAAAATAAGGATGTTAACATTTGTGCAACCATTGTAAGTGTACAATGGGCTAATATTCATAAGTTGATACCTTTTTTTCAAAGGTGATCTATTAGTTTATTTCATGACAAATTATGAATTAAAAATGAGAATGTTTCCCTTCAGACTCTCCTTGGAAAGGAACAGAAAAATAAAAGATTTGTAGCTGTAGAATATAAAATAACTTCATGACAGTATACGCAACTGAAGCACTCAGTTGTGAAGACAAGCACATTCATCATCAGATTTAGACAATTTTTTTCTAAAGCATGTAGCATAAACCATATAATTTTTTTTGTTCTTGCTAATGACAACCTGGAATATGCTGCAGATAGGAAGCAGCTGTGCAGGTAAATTCATCTTCTGATTTCTGAGTGGCACAGTAGGAACATAACTTACTAATGCAATCTTCATCACAAATAACCCATGCCTTGAAAATGTTCAATGTGAGTTAAGAGGTATTGGTATAATTTAATACTAGACAGCTATTGTGCATGTCAATAATAAGAAATGTCTCAAGTTTTTTTCATTCATTAATAATGAAGTCCTACATGTACTCCATATACTGTAATTCAGTCTCATGAAATTCAGTAGCACTTACTGAATTTCATACAGATGAGTATGTATAAGATTACAATTTATCTATTCCTAGCTATTACAGCTATCATTTGAATATTTTGTTCAAATAAGAACAAAAGTTTTTCATCTTTCACTTAGAAATCTATTTCTCTTGTTTTCAATGGAAAGTAAGCATAAGCTGCTCACCCCATATATTAAGTCGAACAGGCCTAGAGTCTCAGATAAACTTACATGGCAAAAATGTACCACCAATAAGTACATTTTGACACCTGCTGGTGAACATTTTTTTCAGTTGTTCCTAATGGCTGTGCATTTATCCAAGCAGCACCTCACTCTTTCTCATTGCTTGTCTGGGTTTGGGTTTGGGTTTTGCACATCAACTCTCAACCACATAATTATTTGTTGGACAGAACTAAGCACTCATTATTTTGTTAAACACACACAAAAAGCTATTCAGTTGGACTGTCCATAATCCATGTGAGACTATATACAGAATACATTAAAATGCAAATAAATGTGTTGTTTAGTTTAGAACAGCTGAAAAAAAATCATTATTAAACAATCTTCTTCCTTACCAAGAATCATGACCAGACTATGCAATATATCTAACTGCTTGAAGTTTGCCTTGAATTTTCCAGAAAAGAAGTGCAAATATTTGAGGTTTCTTAATGAGTCACTTATGTAATGGTATGGTTTCTAGTCACAAATTGTTTAATCACAATATCGGGCTGATACAATATTCCAGACAAGTCACATCTTGGCATATCAACGTTTGTCTTGGACCAGTGATCATGCACAGAAACATACTTGATACATTGGGTTTTATTAAGTTGTTCTCAAGATTTCTGATTCTGTGGTAAGCATCTCCTTGTTCATTATGTCTGCTGGATAAGAGCTGGTACCTACTTCTAGATACTATATGAATTGTATGGTGGATGCTCAACCAATCAGCAAAGAATGAACCATACTATGAAATGAATGCTTATCCAATGAGCTTCGAGCTGACACATCTTGCACTGCAAAGAAGATTAATCAGTGATGGAATTGTATCAGGAGTCAAATTGTAATTGGGCAGTTGACACCAAATATAATTAAACCGTAAAATGCAGGTAAGATGCAGATACACAGATTAATTCAGAAATGGTGATGGGAAAGCTGTGTGGGACATGTATATGACATATATATATAAAATGCAAAATTTGTACATACACACACTCATTTATATACAGAGGGAAAACTACATACAGCTGCAATTTCATGAATAAGACACACATCTGGAGAGATTAAATATTACATTCTACTCCAAGGCCTTTTCACGTCACCTCTTTTCAGGAATCAGAACTGAAATATTTTCCCTCAAGACTGCAGCTTTGGGACTCTTAGCCCACATAGCACATTGTCCATGCCCCATCTGGGAAGGAACTGGCAGCCAACCACATCTTAGCCAGTCTTACCTCCATCAGCATAAGTCTCTGTGCCATATCCATCTTGCAGCCCGTTATTCCAGGTACCTTCATACTTTGCTCCATTGCTGATATTCTGCCTTATGCCATATCTTCCCTTGAAACCATGGGTCCATTCACCTTTGTAAAGCCATCGTCCTTTGGTTTCAATCCCTAAGCCATGGCGCTTTCCTTGAGACCAGTAACCCTCGTAGGTATTGCCACTGGGCCACGTGTATACCCCCACCACTTCAAATCCATAGTTCCAAGAGCCAGAGTATTCGCCCTGACCCTTGGGGCCAGTACAGATGCCATGCCCATGGGCTTTGCCACCTTCCCAGCCCCCACAGTAGGCTCCTCCATCATCAAAATCAAATCTTCCACCACTCATGATACACAACCAAAGTTAGACAGCCACTCTTCTCTTTTGCTCCTCTTTTCCTTCCTCTTCTCTTCTTCTCTCTTGCCTATTTAGTCAGATTATGGCTCCATTATTGGAAGTACGAGAGCCTGATTCAATTGCTGCATAGCCAGTTCAGCTGAACCACTTTCCAAGAGCCCAAGAACAGGAAATTGCTGTGGGATAGAAGTCCCTGTTGATCGAGGCCAGGATCGGGCCAGGGAACTCAGAAAGTAGCCCTGCTTGGTTCTACAGAACCATTACCCAAGAAGGCATGGAGATGTTGATTAGAGATACAAACTACTTCCTGGTCTTGGAAAGAATGGGATTGAAGTTCCCCCTCAGCTGTACAGTTCTAGCCTTTACATCCTTGATCAGACCCGGGGCAAAAGTTGTAACTTTTTTTTCCCTCCACTACAATAGTTGTATTGGCTTTATATCATCCTTGCAATCTCCTCAAAAATCCCCCCACGATCCATTTCTTTGAGAGTCCGTGCAGATCTGCAGGAGCGCTCTCTCTTTAATCTCCTTCCCGGACTGTACCTATCCCGACTGCTTGCTTCCTCGTTGCTTTTCCTCTTTCCCTTAGTTCCTGTGCCCGAGATGCCGGTCCCAGCCGATGCCAGCGTTTGTACTATCCCGTAGGGCAGGCTATCCACGGCTCCGACTCTCCTCCAGAGTCTCTTCCTATTTTTCGCCTCCTCCTCCTCTGCCAAGGAAAAGGTCAAAGCTGCCCTAACAAGGCCATCGGCTCCCTAGAGCTGCTCCTAAAATAGACCCCCTCGCCCAGCCCCCTTTCTAGGACCCTTTTACGGAGGAGAGAGGAACCACCCCTTCGGGGCCGGAATAAAAATGAATAATCTTTGAGGAGGAGAAGAGGGACCGAGGAAGCAAGTGTGTACTTTAAAAATAGCAGCCTGGGAAGCTCTGGGAACGACGGAGCGGAGGATGGAGGGGGGAGAAGGTGGAGGCGGGAGTCGCGGTTCCGCCCGGCTGTCTGCGCCGAAGTTTTCAGGAGGGCTGCGCTAGAAGCAGCTTCTTCTCCTAAGCGCGAGGGTGGGGACAAGGAGAGCATGAATGGAGCCATGAACCGAGAGGTTAGGAGGCAGGACTGGAAGGGGCACCACCGGCGAATCCGGGTTTTGTGACTTTGGCTGAGCGTACTTTGATGGGCCGGGAAGGCAACGGGCTCTCTCCGGAAGATTCGGTCAAGTTTTCTTCAATTTTTTTTTTCCCGGGGAAATTGGGGCTGTGTACTCGCTGTCTCCCCCGCTGGCCCTTAAGACAACCCTTCGGTTTCGCCACTGGAGGAAGTCGGTTTCCCTTTGCGAGCGCCGCCGCCACAAGGCGTCCTTCCTCTCCGCTGACCTTCTCTGTGCTGCGGGGAGCCCGGCCAGGTGCAAATAGGCAACCGGCTTTGAAAAGCCACAGCCAGCCCTTTGCCTGCGGCCGCAGATTCCGCTCACTGTAGCAACTGTACGTGACTAATTCGCCGTGCGGGCATGAACTTTTAATAAGCGTTGGTTACTCAGATCTCAGAAAAATACTCTTATGCTCCTTGCTCTTACGGAAGATTTCTTTCTCTGCCGCTACAGCTGCAATCACAAACATGCTTCATCAGTATTCAAGCGTTGAACTGGGATTGGGGGAAAACCTAATTCTTTTCTTAATGATAAGGCTCAGGGGTAACTTTGGGCCAATTTCTCCCAGTCCAATCCATCTTAAAAAAGAGTTGCTGTACATTTCCTTAAAGAGTGACAGTCTTGGATACTTTTAAGATGTGTAGGCTTCAACTCCCAAAATTCCCCAGGCAATTGAAGTCCACAGAAGTTGTCCAGTTTGAGAAACACTGATGTAAACGCAGTAACTACAAAGTGACCTAATCTGAGTTCACATAACACAACACATTATGATCAAGAGATAATGACAATTCATTAAAAATTCATTATAAGCCGAGGTGGCGCAGCAGTTAGAGTGCAAGTACTGCAGGCTACTTTAGCTGACTGTGTTCAGCAGGTCAATGGTTCAAATCTCACCAGCTCAAGGTTGACTCAGCCTTCCATCCTTCCGGGGTAGATAAAATGAGGACCTAGATTGTTGGGGGCAATGTAAATATATATATACATTGCTTACTGGTGTACACCGCTTAGAGAGTGCTTGCACTTAAAAGCGGTATATAAGTCTCATAAATAAATTCAGCCTTTTTACTTTGGGGTTAAAATGATCTTTTTTTTTCTGATCTTAAATAACTGAGACTGCCTAATATATTGGGTCTAGAAATGACCTAGTTAAGTTTGTTGTGTGAACAATCCACCAGAAAGCTTTGGGCAGCAGTCATTTTTCTCCTCAACAAAGATTTTGTTCAATAAAAAGACATGGTTTTCCCATTTGAATAGGAGGAATTAAACTTAACTTACATGATTGTAGGTGCAATAAAGTACACAAATATTTCAATTGTAATTCTTTAAAAAAGTCAAAACAATTACAAACAACAAAATTGTAAAAAACAAAATTCTTCAGAAAGTTTTAAAAAAACAATCATGACAAGAATACCAAACTTTTTGGAACAGAGGGCATATCTGAATTTTAAAAGCATCAAAATTTTAATCACAAAATGAATGCTAGAAAATTTCTAGTGGATACAGCCAGTCTAAAAATACAATATTTCACAGTAAGGCAAATGTGTAACACTAAAGGACAATAATTTCCAATATCATATATGGGAGAAGCAAGTCTGAGTTCCCAAACACAAACTCACTATTTTTAATTCATAATTGTCTTCCTCTAAGTTTAATATTTTACCCACGACACACATTGCCAGTTTGGAATATAGAGCAATTTCAGCCTTCACTTAGAAATATTTCAAGTGGAAAGTTGGCCAAAGCTGATATTTGATCAATTTATGGGGGTCGGATGCATCACGTGACTTCGCAAGTTTGCCATGCCTGATTTATACTGAGGGGTTTCATTATTAAGCACCAATACTCATTTGCAATATTTGCCCTTTGTTAGTTATATTTCTGAGTTTTAATTGTAAAGCTAACCTCATAAACCTTCACCAGTAAGCATATTTTTATAATTGCAGAATCCAAATGAGAAACTTCTATTTCTGTTACAAAATTTTAGTAGAAAATTTGTTAAAGAAAACTAATTGGTAACCTTAATTTAATAACTAAAAGATTTCTTTCTTCACTTAAAAAAGCAAATCATTTTTAGCCAAATTCTATAATACTCAACCCAGAGAACTCCCTCTGTATTATGCAAGCTGAAATCATGCTTATTTCCTGAGAATGTACAGGAAACAGGTGGTCTTATACAAGAGCAGAAGAAAAAGTGGAGATGTTACTTCTGACACGTTATACAGCCACTTCAATAATTATTGCCAAGAATTCATTAGTTTCAAAACTGTAATTGCTTGCACAGTGCAAAGTACACAATACAGAAAATGCTCAAAGCACTTCATATACTATATTTGCAATGAACTGCCATTCACAAATCTGATATTTGTCTGGGTTGTGAAAGAAAATCATTTCAAGCGCCTCCAAGTCACCTATTGTCTGTGATTTGCAATTGTTTTTTTACAACCCTAACTAGAGTGTTGAAGCCGCACAGAAAAGCAGCTCAATAATGTTCATATAACAGAGAAGCAATAAACCTTGACTGACTCTGGGCAATTGCAAATAAATGCTTATCTCAAGAGTAGCATCTTCCTAGGGAGCTATTAGATCAGGGGGTCTTCAAACTTGGCCCTTTTATGACTTGTGGACTTCAACTCCCAGAATTCCTCAGCCAGGCATGCTGGCTGAGGAATTCCGGGAGTTGAAGTCCACAAGTCATAAAAGGGCCAAGTTTGAAGACCCCTGTATTAGATCCTTGCTGGACAGTATAAAACATAGGAAGTTCTGGGCCAGAAAACAAGAGACCTCAGAACAAAGTAATGGCTGCCTTCCCCATGATTTACAATTCCTTGAATCTCTAGTTAATATTCTGACTGTAAATTCTGTGGATTTTATTCCCATATCAGCTGGACAACACTAAACTGAATTATGAGAAAACACCATGTAAACATTAGCCATTGCCACATTAGATGTAAGAAATTGGATAGGTTACAGGTAGTTCTCAACTTAGAACTGTTTGTTTAGTGACTGTTTGAAGTTACAACATGGCCATGGTCACATGATCAAAATTTGAACTCTTGGCAACTGCCAGTTGCATGTGACCATCATTTGTGAACTGACAAGCAAAATCAATGAGGAAGCCAGATTCACTTAACAACCATGCTACTAATTTAACAACTGCTGTGATTCACTTAACAAATGTGGCAAGAAAGGTCGTAAAATGGGGGCAAAACTCACTTAACAAATGTCTCACTTAGCAATACAAATTTTGGACTCGATTGTGATCATAAATCGAGGACTACCTGTACTTATGTGACATAAAGCTTTTAAGGTTGGCTTCCACTAGGATGGTTATGTCAAGGGAGAACTGGATTCTTTCACCTTTGAATGAATTTCTGGTTTTAAGTTAGAGACATATTTGTGAATTGAAGTAGGTTAAACAAGTAAACCAAGACTCCATGCACATGACTTTGCCTTGAAAGTATTTAAGTTTGCCAAAACAAACTGGCTTCTTTCACACAGAATCCATATAGCTTAAACATATTGTCCCTAGCACATTGTTACAGAAATAAGTGTAGAAAATGACTTTAGAGCTGTATTTGAGATATACATTGCAAATAGATTGAACAGAATAGTCTCTGTGTAAGTATGAAATCTAATAAAAAATGTGCTACTTTGATATGGAGCAAAGCTGACATCTAATGGCCACATACGTGATTGAATATTAATATCTACCCGTTATTCATTAACCACAAAATCCAAATATTGATGCTTTGGAAGGATTCCCTTTAAAAACATGGTATTTTAAGTTGTATTGAAATGAATACAAAGATGGAAAACATTACTGCTACAATTACAGATAATGAATTCAATTCAACAGATTTCAGTAAAAGACTTCTGCATTAATCACAAAAGTCAAATTAAAATAAATACTATGCTTTTTATAATTTAAAATGTGTGCTTGCATACACATAATACACACACACACACACACACATATATATACTTACATATACAGTCAATAGAACATAAACAATAGGCAGTACTTAGCATCAGATGTGGAAAGTGCTTGAATTCGCTCTAGATTATTTTACAATTCACTGTCTGTAAAAATATTAGCCAGTTAATCCAAACTATCAATTGTGGCTATGGCCTACAAAAATGGTGTTATTTCCTGAGTTTGCTATTTGCTATCCTCTGATTTAGAATTTACTTCAGTTGCTGATCTATTAAAAACAAGAAGTCTGCCTGAAATGCAAAGTGGTTTTATTGCAAGCACAGAGAGCAAGCTGCTTCTGAGATGGAGCATGATTCGAGGCAGATATCAAAGCCCTTTGTTGGCTAGGGTCAGGTGTACATCATTTCCGCCATGTGCGACATTTCCTTGGGGATATGCAGGAAGTATTCCATATAACCTGAAAGGTCTTCAATAGTCACATCATCTACATGAGCTCTGGCTTGTTCAGAGCAAGATTTGAGAGAACTGGAGGAAATTCTTGATGTGAGCTGCGAACTGTCTTGCACATGTGCTGCTCTTTCAGATATACCCTGGAGGGAGTTCTGTATATCAGAAAACGTGTACACATTCAGGTTTTGCCATTGCTTACACTGGCATTCATTCTTTACACATGCACAAAAATTCCCTTTATTTTGTTCAGACACAGACTGGAAATCAGAAAGATCTGAGACCTTTAGAATTTCTGTGGGAAGAACACTACCAATATTTTCAGAAATATTCTTTGGTATTCCAATCATGGATGCCTCGGAATCTTTGACATCTGATTCCTTCTTGCCAAATTCTAGAGGATGACTGCCCAGTTCATTTTCAGAAAATTTCTTTGGCACATCCAAATCTTTGTTGCTTTGAAAAGCATCTGTTAGATTCCTGTGGATGGGTTGGCCATAGGAAGGCATTTGTTTAGTGCAATGGATGAATTTAGGAGGATGGAGTACTGGAGACTTTGATCTCCGGTGACGTTGGGTTCGAATTGTTCCTCTCAAAGGTTTTCTCAAACACCTGCAGGATGAAAACGGAAAGAAATAAGTAATTCACTTTGCACAAAAGATACCTAGCTATTTACAAGTGCGCAAAATGTGTCATCAAAGTTTCAACCTTGAAAGTCCTTCTAAAGAGCTCAGAAAGGCTTTTTATAACCTATTTCAAATTCCAGAAGTGGCCCAATCTATAAAAGGATCTCAAATTACTTCAGGGCACATTCTATGGCTCTCTCTGCAGTCCACAGGGAAAAATATATTATTTTAAAAAATGTGATATATTCTCAGATATTGGACAGAAATATTTTTCCTTGCAACTGACAAGAATAAAATATTGAACAATTACTACGATATCAGATGATTAGCTGTTTTATATAACAAAAACAGTATAAAAGCCGAAAATAATTCATTTTAATAATCACACTGCAATGCTTCCATACTGCCTAGTCAAAAATACCCATTAGTATAAAAATGTATTGCACAAAACATTTTGATTATCTTCATAGTGCTTAAAATATTTTTCACAAGGTCTAAAATATGTGCTTAATTTAAAATAATGTTTTTAGCACAAAAATATAGGTAGAATTTTTAAGAAAGCTAGGAATGTAATGTGTTTATCTTTTGAGAGAACCACTATCTAAATAGTAAGGATAATACAGAAAATCCTCTTGAAACAAGAAGCTTGTTTCTTGAAACAAGAAACATGAACAAAGTCAGGAAGAAGGTGAAAAACGCACACTATAAATATACCAGATTTGCATCCACTGACTGATATTTATACAGTCTGGAGCTATACTTGATTTCTAAAAAATGTCTCCACAAAAGTAAGGGATTCAGATCACATAGGATATGCCTTTATAAATGCTGATCACCATAACATTTTACTGGTTTGGGGGAACTGCTTTGGGCTCTTTTAGGAGTAACTGTGTTAAAATTAATAAAAAAATAGAAGCTGGGTGGCATTATCCCAATGCCATACCATTTAATCTTAATATCTCAGAAAGTTTTTTTATCATAGAAAAACTAGAACATTCATTTATACACAACTCATAGTCTAAATTCAACACTGTCCATACTATGAAAGACTATCCAACGGCAATATTTCCTAGATGTCAACTAAAAGATCCTCTGGCTACAATGTAGAGTATCCTCCATCACCTCTTTTTATTTGAACAGCTGTTGCTTTTTCTAATTTAAATTGCTATTTAATTGATTGCTTAATTTTCATTGCTATTATTTTTATTGTAAAGTACTCTGGTTTATTTTGAAGAGAATATGCACACCAGTTTCATTATGTGCCATCAAGCCAGTGTCTATCCTTAGCAGCCACATTTTCTCCATGAACATCAGGCTCAAGACATTATTGCACTAGGGTCAAGATATTATTGCACTGATTTTAATACGAATCAAATCTGGCTAACTTTGAGTATATCCAGTTTTTTAAATTATATATCTGGAAATAAACTTGAATTATAACAAACCTAGTTATATAACTTGTATAGAAGTATCAGGCCCTAACCTTCCATTTCTAGGATTTGAATTCATGACATGGTCCTATAGCTTCCTTCCCGATGCATCCAAAGTAGTAGTTTGACATAAGAAAATACGATTCAATTTTGTAAGAGAAAGATTCTATTTACAGCAATTTCTCTTCCTTTTGCCACATCTGGAAAGCAAAGAACTGACAACCTGTTATGCCATGCAGAGCAACTGAATATAACTCAATTTCAACATTCATAAAAACATAGTAATGCTACTAAATCAAACTATCGCATCTTTCATCACCTTCATTTATGTTTTTTTTCCAATTGATCATTCTAAGAAGTTACGTGGGCCAGTATATTTAACAAAACACTTCAGCATTTCTTCATCCTAAGTATTAACCAGAATCAATTCCTCTTACCAGTGCCAACTTTCTTTAGATCCTAATGTCATCTTCACTTTGGATTCATCTGTACTTTCTACAAATGTTTGTGGAGATGCCCCCTCACTCACAGGGAGAGAAGCAGTGGATCTGAAGCATGAAAAAATATGTCAAAATAAGTTTAGAATGTATAATCTAACTTCAATCAATTTGCTCTGCATAATTCACAATATAATTGTCATTGCAAATATATAATATTTACAACCAGCTTTCTCACAATTGTTCTTTGTATCAACAGCATACTGGAAAAATAATATTAGGGATTAGCTGCCTATTTTATACAGAAAAGGATATAGTACAATTGTCATGGTTCCGACAGATGAAACTCTTCAAAAGAACTTCAAGGCATTGTTTATCTTAAAGAATCTTTTATTCGAGAAACAAAGTATCAGCACTACATAGTCGAAACCAAAAACTAAATTTCCCTCCCCTGGATACAAAGTAATAAAGCACAATTCCCTCCTCCAATAAACAGTCATAAATCTGCCAAAATTCTATCAGCTTGGGGCCCAATGACCTTGGGTTCCCACGGCTAAGTTATTATTGTTATGACTAGCTGGACTCTCATCCACATTCCCCTCCCAGCATCAACTAACTCTAAAAGCAATAGAGAAAAATGGCTGCATTTCCATCTGTTGTCAAAGCAAGAACATCCGATGTTAGCAGTGTTGACAACAGTTGCATTTATTTTAGAAAATATATATGCTGCCTTTCATACATATGAGCTTTGGAAAGTTAACAATAATAGCAAAAGCACTTAGACTTATATACTGCTTCATGGTGCTTTACAGCCCTCTCTAAGCATATTGCCCCCAACAATCTGGGTCCTCATTTGACCAACCTCGAAAAGGTGAAAGGTGAGTCAACCTTGAGCTGGTGAAAATTGAACCCCTGGCATTGAATTAGTCCGCAATACTGCATTCTAACCACTGCACCACCTCGGTTCAATCAACTTGTACTAATATTAAACTAGTAGTAAACATAAAAAACCCTTTATAAATCATGCAAAAATCCCCAACAGAATTAAAATAACTGTAATACAATAACCAAGAAATCAAACCGCACATATATTGGACTCATCTAAGATCCTGGCCCAGTAGCTGGGGAAAATCAAGATCTTCAGACTTTCAGAAGGCCAAATGGGTTGAAACCTTTCATATTTTGGGGATGGGAGGGAGGCTGTTTCATAGGATAGCCACAGCCGAAAAAAAGGCATGACTCCACATATTAGAGCACCCACCCTGTTAGATCTGATGGGATAAACAGTACTACCAGTAACTGGCCCTAGACCACAAAAGCCTTTAAAGCCAACACTTTGAATTACACCTGAAAATATACAGGGAGATACTGCAATTTGCATAACAGCAGTGTTACACTGCATTTAAAAATGACCTAGTAATATTACTGAGTATTTCCCTTTTAGCTTCTCAATTTGCACCATCTACTTATGAAAAGAAAAAAAAGGTAATGGATGAAGAAACAGGTGTCCCTCACCTTGGGGGCTTATTTGGCATTTTATAAAAAGGATTGTGGGGGAAAAAAACCCCAATAAAATAGCTGTTTTAGGGAGAGGGCCAGAGAAGCCAGGCACAAACATTGTAATGACACCACTGTTCACTTTATTTATTTTTATTTGTGTATTCATTTTAGTCCACCTGGCTCCAACAGACTCTAGCTCACCACATAAAAATGTTGTTGTTTACAAATATACCATAAAAAAGCATATCACAAATGGCAGATCTAGACAACAAAAGCAAATATATTATGTAATATAATTATATTATATTTGGTTCCAACTACCTTAGCTCAAAGCCTGGGAGAACAGCCAAGTCCTAAGGCCTCTAGAATGCCATCAGGAGATTAGCCACCCGAGAGGAGGATTCAAGATGACAGACATAGAAAAGGCATCTTTCAAATCTCCTGATAGATAGAACTGGTTAGCGGAAAGAACCTAGAGCATGCCAAGTCTGTTGGAGTGAACTGGCTGGATCAATAGCACAGGAAATAGGCAGTTTCTCAAATACAAGGAAAAAGAAAACAGCCCCATTTTGATGAACACTGAGTTGGAGGGTGGATGAATATTCATATGAAAAAGCCACTACATAAAGTATTTTATACCTTTAAGGAAAGCATAGATCAGAATTTACTAAGTATTCTAAGCCCACAAAAAAGGTATTGTATTTGGAAGCATAACAGAAATGGTGTAGTTTTGAGTAGTAGATATAGAGAACAAGATCATATATATTTCACTTCTCAGGATCAAGGTAACAGGTGACAGATCTGATCCGTCTTTTATATTTTATATTGCAAAGATACTCAGGTCTTCCTGATTAATTACATTGTTACTTACCGTTCTGAATCAACTCTTAACTTTTTGAAAGCTGCCTGGAGATTTTCCTCATTCTCCAACATTGTTAGAGAACAATCCACTGCACTCTCTCCCCTTTGCAGATAAATAGAAAAATGAACTGGGATGAAATTCCAGGCATCTAATGTAAAAATAAATTTGACTAACTGTAGATTAGTGCCTCAATACTTTTTACAGGTAGTCCTCAACAACTGAAATCAGAATCTTGGTTGTAGAACGAAATAGTCATTAGGCAAAGGCCACATGCAAAGAGAGAGCGAGCAAGAGAGCAAGCGAGGGAGGGAGAGGGAGAGAGAGAGGGGGAGAGAGAGAGAGAGAGAGAGATTTTGAACAGAATGTTATAGTATTAAATTAATTCAAGCTGGCACTTTCCAGATGTGCTAGGACTGTGTTCCATTTCCTACTCAAGGTTAGGAAAGCTTTTAAATGAATTAGATTTCTTAGACTTTGCATACGAAACTTGCCAACTCTTCTTTAGTCACTCTGTGAGATGGAGGTTTCTAAATTTATTATACGTATATACATACATAAAGCATACCAAGTAAATGCTTCCTATCTGAGAGTTAACCATGTTTATATCCAAACCAGTATCTAGAGTACTGTGTGTGTACCTGTAAATGGCATATATCTCCTGGTTGATGAAATGTGGGCAATAGTACTGTATATTATCTTGTAAGGTAATATTTAGATTAAAAATCCTTGTTTGCATAGAATAGCATAAGTGTGCATGGGGTACAATTGGCCTTTGGTTACACTTGCAGTTTATTGGCCAAAATATTCCAAAATTGACTGATATAGTACTGTCCTGTTAGCAAAGTTTCTATCTTTTCTTACTAAAAGAATTATGCAAAAGCTTCAACTGATCAAAGATATGTGGCAGAAGTCAATATCTAGGGATCAATTAGATAATGTCCATTATTTAATATAGAAAACAGGTAATTCTCAGCTTATATCAATTAATTCAGCAACCGTTCAAATTTATGGTGGTGCTGAAAAAATAGATGTAGGATGAAATTTGAAATATCACAGCATCCTCACAGTTAGTGATCATGATTCCTGGCGCTCAAGTGCTTGGCTGTGATTCTGACGTTGCAGGGAGTGCGGTCATCTTATCACCATTGGCAACTTTCCCTGCCAGCTTCCTATAGGAAACATCAATGGGGAAGCCAACAGGGAAAGTTGCAAGTCACTCTAGTAAGTTGCTCCCAGGTTTCTCCTCCCTTCAGGACCCCTCTCCCAAGTCAGGCTTCCATCGACCCCTCCCAGAGTCTTCCCCTGGCCTCACTCAATTCACGTGCATCCTGTAATGGCCCTCCAAGGACCTCCCAAGCCTCTGAGGCTCCCCCACAGCTCCCCCACATCCTAGCCTGGAACTGCCACCTCTTCCCACTTAACCACCAATGCTTCCTAGGGTTACTATGGCAACCAAGTTTACCATCACCAAGAAATGCAGTTAAGTGACGTTGTGGTTTACGACCACATCACTTAGCGATGGCAATCCTAGTCCCAATACCATAATAACGAAAGGACTACCTGTATATACAAGAAAATATTTTAAATACTTAAGTTTACAGAGTTAATTTTTTAAACAATAAAAGTTAAAGTATTAAGTGTTTATAACCCTTAAATTGGCACAAAAGAAGAAACCTGCCAGAAAAAGGCTCACTTGGACACAACTCCCTCCCTGCTCCACTCAGTTGATGTTCATTTGCTCAAATTGTTTAACTGACACATTTCTTAGTTGCCTATTTGATGTCATTGTGATTCATCTGGGATGGGTGTGTCATAATGTATTTGAAATACATACTAACTCTTGAATCAGAGAACAAAGAAAGCACAAAAGGAAGTGATGCACCAAGACTGCTTCCTGGGATGTTCATCTGCCAAATGGATAATTAACAGAAGCTACATTAAACAATCTGTTTTTTTAAAAAAACTTAACTGAATGTTGGACTCAGAATTCTAAAAACAAGGCAAGTTCTTAGAGTTTAATTTTTATACTGCATACATAAAAACCTGCTACATATACTTGTGCAAATCTCAGAACGCTCATATTATTTTAAAACTGAATTATTTAATAGTGCTTATGTAACCTGGCTGTTAATCTCACTGAGTGAGTAGTTCAGTCTCTTGAATTTTTCCTGGTTCAATTCCCATTAGTTGAGTAGTGGGTCAGAATACAACTGCAGCATACAGCCTGGTTAAAGGCAACTTATTTGGTTGTGAGGAATGAAGAAACATGTAGGTATGTGTGGTGATTTCTATATTTCCTGTATAATGTGGTATTTATGTATCCATTTTGTTGTTTTATTGTGACATCAAAAAGTAAACTTATTCTATAAATAGGTGAAGTTATATTGATGGTGATGTAGAAAGTTGTTGAGGACTTGATGGAATCTAATGATAAATTCTTATCCATAGTTTCAGATAGTGAATATGTCATCAATAGATCTCAAATAATGGGGGGCTTTGGGTGTAAGATGTCTTAGTCTAGTTCAGCTATGAAGATGCTGACATATTGTAGAGTTATATGTATATCTATGACTGTGCCACTGATTTACACATATATGTTTTTCCAAAGGTAAGATAACTGTCATATGGTCTAGTGGTAAGGGATCTGCACTGATCATTTCTTGAAACATGAATCACAGATTCCTTGTTAAAATGAAAAGGTTAGAATTTCAAAACATAATTTTTACCAATTGAACTATTTCCTGTTATAAGCTTATTTATTGTAATAATATTACTATTTCTATGATTTTTTTCTATTAAATTTATATACACATACATACTGGGAGGAACTGGAATGGTTTGGAAAAGCCAAACTGGTCCCAGTAGTGGTAGGAGGCCTCAGGGCTTACAAAATTGTCTCTTGAATCCTTATCAGCCTGAGAATCAATCCTTACCTGATGGATCTGAATGCTAGAAATTGAAAGAATTAGGGACCTGGAAATAGTTATTAAGCATATCACAGAATGCATGGAGAACTAACCAAGCTGATTTTGTGAGCTGATAATCACTAAGCAAAATATTTGGGGCATGTGGTATGGATATGAACAGCTAGAAAACAAATTGATAAGACTGAAAAAAGTAGAAAGAGAAGACTGGTCCAGGGGGATGGATGAGATGTAAGAGATTATAGAATTGTTCTTGAGTTTTAGAATGTTAGTGGAAACAATAATAATAATAATAGTAGTAGTAGTAAAGTTGGAAGGGACCTTGGAGGTCATCTAGTCCAACCCCCTGCTCGGGCAGGAAACCCTACACCATTTTGGACAAATGGCTGTCCAGTCTCTTCTTAAAAACTTCCAGTCCAAGCAGTCATCAAGGGTCAGGCTCTTAAGACAGGGGCATCAAACTCAATTTCACTGAGGGCTGCATCAGCATTATGGCTGCCCTCAAAGGGCCAATTACATGTAGACTACGCATCATATTAGTTCAGGAGTGCATTATGTCTAAGACATGGGCCAAACAGGATTAACATTTCAAATATGAACAAATATTTCAAATAATCTACAAAAACAAATTTAAAACAAAGAAAAAAACCTAAGCTATTTAGTTCTCTCTCTCTCTTGCCATTTTGCCTGAGCCAGATGTTTGGCATATTTTCTTGCCTACAAGTTCATTTATGTTTGAGGTTAGGTTCTGAGCTGTGGAAACTGTCAGGATAGCATGGAGGAGTGCATCAGTAAGAAGACTTCTGTATGCACTTTTGTTCATCCTCATCACAGAAAAGTTGCTCACACAGGTTTGTACTACCAAACATGCAGAGGATTCGTGCAGTTTGTAGGCAGAGTTGGGGCATTGTTTTAGGGATGAACCTGGTAAACTGTGTGGGTCTTACAGAATCATACTTTGCCTTAAGTGTTGTTACATTGGAGTTCTACCAGCTCCATCTGGATGTTTACAGGTGCTTTCTCCATGTCAACTGCAAATGGATTACTGAGCAGTCCAAAACTGAATTTCTGTGCTTCAAAGTCAACAAAGTGACATGTAAACTCCATGTGAAGTGTGCTCAGTTTATTAGCAAAATGAGCATCTGAGAACACAGTGGAGACTTGGCTTATGATTGTTTGGCAACAGGGAAAGTGACTCGTTTCCTTACTGCATCTGAGTCTTCCGTAGTTGCAGGTTAACTTGAAAAGCTTTCACTGCTTCATACATGTCCGTGATCACATGGTCCGTCCCTGAAGCTGAAGGTTTAGCGCAGTGAGATGCTTAGTTATGTCGCAAAGAAAAGCTAATTCATACAGCCACTTTCATACCACAGTACTGTGGAGGCCTTTCCTTTATTTTCCATGAATTGACAGATTCAAAAATCTATTGAGCATTTTTTCTCAACTTAGTCATAGCACCTCTGTGTGATAGGGCAGATCACCAAGTTCTGAATGTATTTCCTCAAGAAGAGATTTAAATTGATGGTGATTTAAACCTTTGGCTCTTATAAAGTTAACTGTCTGTGTTACAGTGCTCATTACATGTTCCTAGTGTATGATGCAGTAATATGCTGTCAACTCACCTGAGCAATTCTCGCTCTTCATCTTCCCTCACATCCTTCCCACTAATCCATTCATTTTCCCCGCACATTGAAGGTGCTCCATCTGTTATCAATCCCATAAGTTTGTCCCAGGGCAGTTTCATGACATTTACACATTTAGATATTGCTTCAAATATGTCTTTTCATGTGCTAATGCCATGCATTGATTTAATATCCAAAAGTTCCTCTGTAACACATAAACCTGAGTCCATTCAACAGATGAAAATTGTCAGCTGTGCCGTGCCAGTGATGTCAGTGCTCTCAACCACAGCAAGGGAACATGCAATGAAATCCTTTTCCTTTTCAATCAACTGTACTTGTAAATCAATGGCAAGCTCATGTATCTGATCAACATCATTATTTGTGCTTAGGCTTACATTAAAAAAACGCTTGATTTTGGTCTGGACACAAGAGTTTGCACACTTTAATCACGCAGCACTTCAAAAACTCCCCTTCTGTAAATGGCTGAAAAACTAGCTTTCACAGCAGCTTCACAGTCCATTTTCTGTTTGGCCATTTTGGGGAGTTTAAATATCAGTATAAGCATCCAGGTCTTCTTCATGGCATATGTTGTATATATGGTGTATGAAACTGTACAGAAAGCTCAAAATCCCAGGTGTTGAACAGTTGTGAGTGCTCTAAGTATCCGCTCCAGAGGCTCAGTAGGATGCTGTGAGTACAGATGTTTGAGGAGGCTTAGCAACATCACAGCATCTATGAAGAGAAAGCAAGTGACTGCAGCCCTATTTGATACAATTGAAATTATATATTTTATATAGGAGAGATCCTGAATGGATGGAGGAAAAAAATCAGCAATCCACCATCACTCCGAAGGCTTAGGACAAGAGATTACTTCCCAGGGTAATGAAAGAACTAGTGGAAGTGACTGAAGAACAAGCTTGGTAATGCTGAGAAATACAGAACTGGCAAGATCTCAGAAGAGTAAAGAGCATAATCTATCAGTTTAGCAGAGATCTATCAACCTGATATTTTGGACAAGATGTTAAAAAAGATAATCGTGCAGCATGTTTTGACTTATGTATGCTACAACTAAAAGCAGCCAGCGCAGATCTGCTACAATTCATGGTATTAATTTTACTGATCTTTGAAAGTTAATAATAAATTTGATTTCAGCTTAAACGATTGAAGAATGCAGACATAGTGTACTTGGACCTTTATATAGTGTGTCATAATATTCTCCTTAATAAAGTTCTAAAAATTTGGGCTACATGACACCTTGATTTGATAGACTCAGAATTGCACCCAAAGAGTGCTTGTTAATGTTCCAATTCAATACAGAAGACACTATCATATCACAAGGACTACTAGAGCAGGGCTTTTCAACCTTTTCACCCATTGTACCACTTTTAGGATATGGCAATATCTGAGTACCACCAGTTGCCTAGTTTCAAAAACTTGATGATCAAAAAAAAAAAAAAGGAAAAAAGTGATGAAGTATAGATAGTCCTCGACTTACACCAGTTCACTTAGTGACTGTTCAAAGTTACAATGGCACTGAAAAAAGTGCCCCCCCAAGCCACAGCCGAGCAAGACACCTGCCTGCCTACCCGGCGGCGCTCTTCCTCCTGTCTGAGGTTTTCATTGTTGTGAGCATTTCTGTTGAGGATTGGCAGCGGGGGTGGGGTGGGGGGTGTTTGGTTTTTATTCCCCCGTCTGTTGGGTGATTGGTCACTTCACATGACCCTGGGACACTGTGACCGTCATAAATATGAATCAGTTGCCAAGCATCTGAATGTAAATCACAAGACCTTGGAGATGCTGCAACATTCCAGCTGATCAGCGTTTCTTCTGGGCTCAGCAGAAGCGCCAGGATCAGCGCCGAGCTCCAGCTGGAGCCTGGTGCTGATCCTGGCGCTTCCACTGAGCCTGACAACCTCAAAAGGCTGGAAAGCAGCACTGATCCTGGCACTTCCGCTGAGCCCTGACAGCCCCGCACTCCAGCCATCTCTCACTCAGGCTTGTGTGGTGCTACCACCAGTTCAGCTCATTCCCCTCCCCTGCTACCACTTTTCTAGGATGGTCGCATACCACCTGCCAGGTGCCAATGTATCACAGGTGGTACCCGTACCACTGGTTGAAAAGTCTTGTACTAGAGGGCACTGTTATGCATCCTGGGCTGTTCACCATTTTAATGAATGAGTTGGATGGTGAAGTTGAAGGATGCTTATGACATTAAGCTGGGAGTGGTGACAACACTTCAAATAGAGAAAATTAAAAAAAAAATAACCTAGACAGGCTTGGGTTGTGGAATGAAAGGCATACACTATAATTTAACAGAAGGAAGTGTAAAGCTCTGCATCTGTGCTGGAATAATGTACGGTCTAAGAATAGGATGACTTGACAATAGTCTAAGTCATTTCCTTATTCTTGCTATCAAACATGGGATATATTTTAAAATGTGTAGTTGGGACAAAAAAAAAGATTTACGTATTCTCAAGCAAAAGCGTATCCTATTCTAATTTCACCTGTCAGACAACCTTGTAATTTTGGAAGAGTTCTAGCTTGCATTCATTTCCCCCCCCCCCAAGCGGCATTTCTTAGCTGATCTAAAAAATAAGTACAGCTGCTGAGTTGGGAGACTAACAGAAATTCCAAGCTGGGCAAAAAAATCAGGAAGAAAGAGCAAAAGACTCCAGCATTGTGGGCAAGGAAACTACATGGCCGGTGTATGTAGCCACTAAGAATGGAACTCAAAATCCCTTTTAGGGCAACTCCAGGAATAGCATTATTCAGCAAGGTGGAAATAATATCCATAACAAAAAACAACTAAGTACTTTGTGGCATTCATGGACGAATGTATTTATTATAACAAAATCCTTCCTCTTATTTTACATTGCACCAAATGAAGTCTATGGGGTCAAGCGAAAACTTAAGTCATGTTTTCCAACCTTGGCAATTTTAAGATGTGTAGACCCAACATTCTAGTTGGTGAATTCAGGGAGTTGAGGTTCACACATCTTAATTACCAAGCTTGGAAAACATTGACTGAGATTATTAATCTATGTGTTATTATCTCCAAGTGCAACAAATCTTTTGCTTCAACAGAAAAACCTGCCCGTCCAAGAAACAAAGTTGAGAAATGCTTCACCTGTGGAGTTTCTTCCTGCGACCGAAGCCCTGAGTCCGAAAGAAAAGCCAGGGGACCGAAAAGGAACAAAAAGGATGCTTCGTAAAGCAGCCGGAATGGGACGCCTAGAGCGGTGACTCAACAAGAGACAATCGCTTTGACGGGTAGAATCAGCTGCTCTGCTCCAGTGGCTATGAGCGAACGAGGAATCACGCCAGTTCAGCGCTTCGACAGCTCTGCGCAAAGAAGACGGCGGAGAAAACAATTTCAAACGTTCGTTTTCTTTACGCGAATACCCCAGTCTCCCCTCAAGCATATGAGCGGAAATAAACGAGTGACCCGGATCTGGAAGCACCTCACCGAGTCAGAATCCCCATGGAGACTGTTTGGTACTAGTAAGCATGCGTTCTCCTGCGTCCTCTTGTAAGGTTTCGCGCGTAAAACAGGAGTGGATGAAAATGTGAGCACTCATGGTCCTTCAAACGCATGCGCACTGCATCGTCACTTCCTGTTGTTTCTATATTCACTTCCGGCAGTGGCTCGTTTGACTGATTGGGTCCGCTTTGTCGGGTAAGTTGGCCCTTATTTTCTTAGGTTTCGTTCATTCTGAGGGAGAAGAATGGAGAGGTTTTTTTTAATTTCCGTTCGGATAAATGGATTTGCCTTCTATTTTAGTGATGTCTTAGGCTCTCCCGGTTTCCCCTTCAAGGCAGATACGTTTCGAAAAGGCGAAAGTAAAGGGCTGGGCCTCTTCTTCAGCTACGTCATTTCTACTAGTTTATGCGCTGACGGGTTTCTTATTTAATACGTTGCCCGAATTCTGGGTCGTCGAAGCCGCGGGGACATTCCCTTCTCGACGGAAGTTTCATGGCGCCTTAAAGGCGAACATTTTGGTTTGTTAGGAGACACGTTTTCTCCCCTATCTTCCGTAGTGACTCAACATTAAAAGTCTTGGTCACATTACACAGGCAGAATTTCCTAACCCCAAAATTATCCTGGAAATCAAATAATAATTAGACTGTATAATGTTAGTGGTTTTTTTAAATAATGCATTTATTTACATTTTCAAACTACCCTTCCTACGAATATATAAATTATACATACTATATATTTTCACAACACACACACATGGAGTGTTACCCCAAAATTATTTTCCTTATAATTTTGTTTGCCAGATAACAGTAAGGCTTTTTTCTGATTCTTTAAAATAAGGTTTTTCTATGGCTTAGAGCATTCATATAATATTTGGCATTGTTGAATTGATAATTCAGTTTAATTCTTTTCAGAGGATCCTTAGTTTTATCAGACTGTTTAGTTGTTTATATCACTGTAATTCTAAACAAATATTTAAACAGCAAAAATAGTATAATACTAAAAGTAGCAGTAGAGTATAAAACACCTATAGTGGTGTCAGTCATCATTCTTCCAAATTGCATGGACTGATTGCCTGGATTTCTGAATTAAGTGTGAACAGTATTTGTGAATTTACATCTGTAGTTTTATATAAGATAATTTACTAGAATTTGATATTAATAGTTACATACAGTGTCTCTATATATCTATATAGTATAGATATTTTTTGCAAAGTTTTAAAATTAGAATAATTTGGCTAGAGAAGTTAAACTGTAATGATAGAAATCTTACTGATTTTCTGTAGTAACCATACCATTACTTTATTTTTAACTACATAATGAAATATACATCTTTGGATGAAAGTACTAACTACTAAATAAATAAACTATAGGTATATGTAGCCTTATCAGTTCAGCAGATTTTTATATACTCCTTTAAAAGAATATTCCAAAAGTGCTGCGTGGATGTTATTTGTATAGGTGGATTTTACTATGCTTTGTCAAAGCCTCAGTCAAATGAATTTTATTCTGTCCCACCTATGATGTAGATACAGACAACTTCAGTTTACTATGAATCTCCAATCTGTTGTTCAGAACTACTCTTACCTTAAGAAATATCCATGCTATGTGTATAGTATGATATTTCAATTTTAGTTGATAGGTATCCACACAGAGAAATATTAACTAAAACACAGTTGTGATCATGCACTTAATCTAAAAAGTTCTAATAATCAGTTTGAATAAGAGAAGTCTCTTGGATAGAATTTGCCTTAGTTCCATTTAGACTGGATTATAGTAATGTTATTTTGGAAGCTTCTTTTAATAGAATTTGGAGGCTTCAATTGATTCCAAATATAACCACTGGGATATTGGCAGGAGTAAGATAAATTCTTAATGTAATACCCATCTTACATTATTTGCACTGGTTAACCAGGTGTTTTTCAAAATCAGTGAAAGACTCTTGGTAAATTTAGATTTGTTTTTTAAAAAAATCAGGTATTTTTTTTCAATGTGTTGTTTGATATTTGGCTTTACCAAACTTCTGCAACTGTTTATATATTTATTTATTTATTTAAAAGATTTTTATGCCAATCTTAAAATACATTTGTGTGACAATCTTAAAACAAATCTAGGCAGCTGTAATAGGAGATAAGAGGGGGAGTAGCAGCACCCTGTGATCAGACAAAATATACCTCATCCCACAGAAGGAATGGGGGTAGAAAAAGTATTTCATAAGGATTCTTCCTAGTTCTTTAGAAAGTAAATACAAGGAAGGGAAGATGTGCTTTAAGGGGTACATGATTATATTACAGTAATCTTGCAATAAAGATAGTGTTAGTATTTATACTTTTAGTTTGTTGTTTGGATTACTTCTAAGGGCTGATAGTAGTTCACAATAACAATAAAATCCAAAACTACTAAAAATATAAAAACAAGTCAAACCCCAGTGACTTTGTAGTTTCCTTAGGAAGCCCTACACCCAATTCCAGACATTCTTTTGAATAATCAATGCAGAGAGTTCCATGAAGTAGGGATGGCCATAAAAAGGGATTCAAATCTTTCTGATTGATGACAGATATCATATTTTCAATCATTTCCAATTTTTCAGTCTCATTTCATGTTAAACAAATGGCTTAATACAGAGGTTCCCAACCTTTTGGGCACCAGGGTTCAGTGCCATGAATAAAGGTTTTTCTGCGGACCAGAGGTGGTGTGGTTTTGAATACTGCCTGCATCCGGAGGATAGAGCTTTGCTTGTTTGTGTGACCCACTTTCTAGCATGCTGCGGACCAGTGCCAGTCCAGGGACCAGGGGTTGGGGACCTCTGGCTTAATACTTTGTCTTAACATGCAAAAGATAATTTACTTAGTAAATGTATATTTAAACAATGTTGTTTAGAAAATACTCATGTTTTTAAAAAAGCTTCAAAGTAATGCAAAAAAACGTGTTCTTTGATAACATGGGTATCTGTTAAGATTGATCATAATATTTTTTTTCAAACAGCTAGGCACTTGAACCTGAACGGTGACTTGAAAGTCAGTCTACATTGGAGTCTCTGTAGTATGCAGTTCTGTTAAACGTATACCATTCTTATAGGCTTAGTGCAGTTTCTTTCTCTACATGAGAGACAGTTTGGTGCAGTGGTTAAGCATCTGAGAGACATGAGTTGTAGTCCCACTTTAGGCATGAAGCCAGGTGGATGATCTTTGGCCAGTTATTTTATCTCAGCTTTAGAAAGGAGGTGATGGCAACCACTTCTGGAAAACCTGTCCAGGCAGTTTCCAAAAATCTAACACAATTGAACAAAAGGGGAAAAAAATCTACATAAAATCAATATCAGTTTGTTTTTCTTATTATTATTCATTATATGGCAGGCAGAAGAGCATTCTAACAACTCACAGATGGAATAGGAAGCTAAAGAAGGAGATGAAGAGAGTCTGCAAACAGCTTTCAAAAAGTTGAGAGTGGATCCAACTGGGTAACAATTGCTTAAAATTATTTTTTTTTATGGTCTTGGTGCTTTTAGTGGTGTATTTTTTTCTTTTTGCAAGCTTAAAATTGGAAGTGAAGAAAGTTTTTAAGCTCATCATTCATATTTTCTTAAATTTTGTAGAAAATGATCTGTCTAATGTGGATATTGGGAGATTTCATTCCCTAACTTTGATTTCAGCTAATAATATATATATAAGATATGCATAAATCACTTAATTGATTCAGGATCTTATATTTGTTTTTACACAAACTATGACCAGTTGCATCATCCTTTCAGAGATATTTCCTTACCAGATTCCTTAATGCTTTCAAGAATGACCAAACTTCTAGTCCAGTACTTCCTCCACTGGAAAAACTGGGATACATTCAGAGATGTATCTGCCTTAAAAAGAGCCTATGTTGAACTATATAACAGTCAAACATCAGCACAGGAAATATTTTATGGCACTTTGTATTACAGGTAGTCCTCAGCTTACAATCACAATTGATCCAAAATTAAGTAAATCTGGCTTCCCCTTTGATTTTTATTGTCAGAAGGTCGTAAAAAGTGATCACATGACAAAGGACACTGCAACTATCATAAATATGAGTCAATTGCCAAGCATCCAAATTTTGATCACATGACCAGGGTTCTACAATGGTCAGAAGTGTGAAAAACAGTCATAAGTCACTTTTTTCAGTGTTGTTGTAACTTTGGTCACTAAACAAATTGATGTAAGTTGAGGACTACCTGTCTGTCATAAAGAGTTTTATGATAATGTTTATGTCAAAATGTTCTATAGAAGCACTTGTTCCAGATAGTTAGGCTTACATGATTTGTTCACGGTTCTAGCACTAATCAGTTTTACTACTAGTTGTTCACTTTATTGATCTATGAGTCTTATCCATAGTTCCCTATTGATTTTCTGGGGAAGCCAAGTTTGTAAATGACAATCACATCATCACAATGTGCTTGGTAACAATTGAATGAGTTGCCAAGCACCTAGATCACAATCATGTAACCACATTGGTACTGAGATGACTAGAACTGTGAAGATTGGTCATAACCACTGTTCATTCCATGAATGGACATGAATGGTCACTGACCGAATGATTCTAAGTCAAGGACTACCTGTACTCTGTTCCATTTTCTTCTCATCCATTTTACAGAATAGCATTCTAATATGTTGTCTGCTCCTTAAACCAGAACTTCTGTTAGTGAAGGAACAGGATTGCGATCTCCAGGCAGAGTAACTATCGACGGAGGCTGGCATCAAATTGTCTGTTCAAGAGAGATTTGGCACAGGTAAGGAAAATGATCTGCTCTTATATTTGAGTACTCTTTATTTGAAATTTCCTTTTAAGTGTCAATTCTTGGCTAATATAAATGTGCAAAAATTAGGGTGAAGCTTATTGTACAGTGCTATATTTGCATTTTGTTTCTGCCTTGCCTGGTTGGGAATTTATCTAGAAATAGCAGGGAGAAATGCAGTGGCTTATTTTAATTACATCCAATGTTCATAATTATATTTCTTTCTGATTAGATATAGTTGCAACCCTTAAAATTCCAATTTGATCTTTTTCATGGATAAAAATCACAAGGCACATGACATGAAATTGCTTCATCCATGGAATTAGAGCAAATAACTTAGTACAGAATGTCTGTGTTAGAATATACTTTGTTCTAAAATTAGTTCTGCTAACGTCACTGCTTTCTGTTAACAGAGGTGCACGGAAATCCTTGAAAGGGACAACAAGACCACAACGATGTAGGCGTTCCAAATCTCCTGTTCTTCATCCCCCAAAGTTTACATATTGCAGCATAAAAGCATCTTCTGTAAATAACCAACTGAAACACAAAAGTCAGGTTGATGCGCCAAAAAACAAAATTGGTCCAGATCCTAGAGTTTCAGAAGAGCTGTACCTAACTGGAAAGAGGTGCCCATTTTTAGACAGCAGCAACTGCAGAAAAAGCAGAGCAGGACATCAGAAAACATGTACTGGTGAGCAGCCTTCAAAGAATTTAGGAAGGAAATGTCATACTTTTTCTTTGACCTTTGAAACCAGTCTGGATCCTAGCCAGCCTTCAGATTTCCAGTCTCTTTCCAAGATGAGTTATGAGAAGCAGTGCCCATACATGGACAAAGAATGGCAAGCAATAGAAACATATTCCTTTTCTGGTTTGCGGAGCGTCTTATCAGAGTGTGAAAAGGCAGTTCTGGAAGTGCGTTCACAATCCTTACCAAATCGATCACCTTCTACTACAGGTTCGTCTGGCTCTGCCCGATCTTGTTCGGAGCAAGCTCGAGTCTTTGTGGATGATGTGACTATTGAGGATCTTTCTGGGTACATGGAATATTACTTATATATTCCCAAGAAAATGTCTCACATGGCAGAGATGATGTACACTTGAAATGAGAATCATGGGTTTGAAATTCAGTGGTGGTAGTGAATATTTTCTCAGTGCTGTAGATGGAAATGTGTCCATTGTCAATGCTGCGTGTTTGATCAAATGTTTATTTGCACCATATAATGTTTTTAAATAAAGTTTAAAAAGTGATATATGTTTAAAAGTACGTTGCATTAAATAGGAGATTTAAGAAAGTACCTGGATAAAATTTTTGTTCTCTTGATGCAATTTAAATTTCAGTTTCTTAAAAAGTTCAAACAAGGTTTGTCTTTAAATAAGAGTTTTCCTAAAATGCAGCAAATTCTGTAGATTTCAAATTAAGTTTACCAAGTTAGGTAAAAAATTAATCGGATCTACTGATAAATTTGCAATAAATTGGCAAGGATGTTCTTTCTTTTATTTTTTTAATAAAAACTGTTAATTTTCTCACTCTAAAATGAAAGCTTGGGCTGAACAGGAGTGGATGTTTTTGTGACAGAACTTTGAGCTCATATCAGTTCTGTTAATGAAAAGAAATTTCTAGCTCAGGAGGTCATGCAGATATCGTTAACTTACCCTGTTAGTATAAGACTTTGGTTAACTTATTATGCTAAGCCAAAATGCTGTTTGTTGTGATGAGCATGTCTTTTGCCACCATCTCCAAATGATTGGATTTCTTACGAAGAAAACAAAAATAGATCCAACAAGCCTAAAGGCTATTCAGTCCTGCCCTAGTAAGATAACTCAGATTAGTGAAAAGTTAAAATAGTTTTGTGCAGTTCCTTGTGTAGCAGGGGTCTCAAACTCGCAACGTCATGTGACGTGTTGTGACATATCACCACTTTTTTCCATTGCTGGCAATGGGGTGTGGTTTCAGCATGACACATCCGGCCCGCAGGTCAGCAGTTTGACACCCCTGTTGTATAGGATTGAACATGAGTCTGCAATTTTAAAGGAACAGGTAACAGATTTAGCATAATTAATATTGTCTCCTAAATAATTTTGCTGATCTATTTTTCTTTAATATCTCAGCTTCTAGCAAAAGTTATATATCTCTAAATTGGTTTTACTCAGATTAATATTTCATTGCTAAATACAAGCATATTTTTTTCTTCTTGAACATCCTACAATGATAGGGTTTTCTTTTTTTAATAAGCCATAGTGGTTAAGTGGAAGCATCACACTAAGCCACCAATATATGGAATAATACACAATTTGAACCCATCTTTTTAATAAGCTGGTCTTGTCCTTGTTTGCATAACACACGCAGATTAGTGATAACTGCTCTCAGTTGATTGGGTGATCTCCACCAGTACATGATCTTGGATTGCTCCATCAGTCATCTGATAGCCATATTTATAGTCCTCTTTGGTGGCACCAAGGAGGCTGGAAACTATCCCTTTCTGCTTCACTTCCTACAGTTTTTTGTTCCCAACTGCAAGAAGAAAAGTTATTATGGCACTATAGGATTGAGACCACCATGACCAGGTTTGGATAGGTTGGGCTTTTTCCCACAGTTTTCCTCTTTTTCAGTACCAAGATCCATGTGGTCACAGGGATCCTAAAGGATTATTTAAACTGTTCAGAAGGAGCACTGCTTTCATAACACCTTTCTAGGACTCAGTTAGGGCTATTGGAATAGTCAATTAAATTTTAAATTCACAGGACGTTGGTAAAGTTACTTCACCAAAGGAATTAGTTTAGCCCTGAATAGATTGGGTCATTGGGGCTAAATCCAGCTTGCTAGGATTATAGCTGTGTCAGTTAACCTAGTTTTATGACTTCACATGACATGCTTTTCTTATCTATAAACAACTTAAGGTGGCATGTGAAAAGGTCCATTGACTGCCTCTGAGTACTACTAGAATGATCGTCCTTGACAGGCGAATGCTTTCAAAATGTGTACAGGTAGTTCTTGACTTGCAAGCAGTCACTTGGCAACCATTCAAAGTTATGATGGACCTCCCCAGAGCTACGATGTTTCTAAGTTCTAATGGCTGTCCCCACAGTCGTATGATCGTATTTGGGGCACCTAACAACCAGTCCACATTTAGAACTTTACGGCATGTCACAGTCACACAACTGCAATTTTCGGTATTTTTTGCTGGAAGCTTCCATGATTGCAACATTCATTTAATGACCACAACATGCACTTAACTCACACCACAAAAAAAGTCAAAATCTGGTGTGGTCACATGACCCACTGAACAACTGCCACAGTTTAGAACTGTAATTCCAGGCCCAATTGTTCTATGTCAAGGATTACCTGTAATACAGTTGCATATGCCACACAGATGCAGCTTACTTTCTCACTAAGTTCCTGTGAGTATTGATCTCTTCATTTAGGTTAGGGCTTTTCAAAAGAAACAATGTTAATATTGATTTACAAGTAAGCAATTTATATTCTGTATGTTGCGCAATCTTCAATTGAAGTCAAGGAAGTGCTATAAATTATAGCTCTTTTGAATAAGCTTGGCTTGATCTTATTTGCCTAACACAGGCAAATTTGTTTTCTATGTTTCATATGATTTAAATTAAATAACATTTGAATTAAATAATATTTGAATTAAAACAAATGTGTGCTAGTTATGGATTTTGTAGTTAATTTGTCCTAGTTGCTGAAAGTGGTTAGCTGAGCCATAAGCCATAGATAAAAGGTATCTTAGAACTACCTAACTGCCTCCAGAAAGAGAAAGCAAAAAAACTTTCATTGTACAACATCTATTTTTATTCTGCAGAACTTTGAAGAAAATCATTTGAATAAGCAAAGCTTGGCATCCCATGCAATTTTTTTTAAAAAACATAAGGTTTAAGAAATATGAGCTTTGCTTGCAGCATAAGAATAAATCCATTAATATACTATGGCAATATTGCAAAATAGGCTGGCTCGTTTTGCTTTTTTCTGAAGCAAAATGTCTTTAAAAATTGTCCCCTGAAACAAATGGAGCTGTTTTTGAGTATAGTAGCTTGCTTCAGTTAAACCTTTGAATAGAGGAATTTCCCTGCTGATTATGCCTTTGCAAATTAATGAGAGGATTGGTTCTATTCCCATACATAAATACATTAAATAAATTTAACCCATTGTATGCATACCAGAAGTAGCCATTTTATGCTGTAATTGTTAAATGATACATGTATGTCCCATTTACTATATGTCAATATTAGAAATACTGGGTAGTCCGTTTATCTTAAATATATATACATACATATAGCCTTAATTTTTGTATAAAGAATGCAATTAATGTTTCTGATTTACTTTTGATTAACAGATTCTCATCATATTTGAACATCTGCATTGTAGGAAGACTATACAGGTATAATGGAATAGGTGTATTGCTATGAGAACAAATTTGAATTTGAAACCATGATAACCATATGAGTTTGAAAATGAGTATATTGTTTCTGCTTTGCTGTTTAAAAGATGATACTATTCAAATGGAGTTTTTGAAGCATAATGTTTTAGATTTATTTTTTTCCCCATTCTAGGGCTAAAGGGCAAGAAAAGTTAGCATCACAGTCAAGAATACAATGGAGCAGGGAACTTCCTTTTTGATAGTTAAATCCTTCTCAATGCTGATTTAATATTTACTGGAATTGTGGAGTAAAGGATATTGGCAACACACAAGGTCACTGAAATGATTGTTTAAAACCAAACACTTTACGGAATGTTCAATAAATGGACCACTAGATGGAGTTTTGAGGATTTTTTTTTTCTTTTTGATGCTAGGAAATAATTTATCCAGAAATGCAATTAGTATTTTCAAAAGGTCATTGTCTAAAAGTCTGACAGATAATGAAATTATTCCAATATTCCTATAGAGAAGGAAGATTAAACCTTATACTCAGATTTTTTTTTAATGTTATATATACCAGTAATGCATGGCAGAAATGTTTCAGAGGGGAAGCTTGTGTTTGAAAAAAGCTGAAAATAGTATTGAAGTAGAAAATTGGAATCTAATTTTTTATGAGAGCCAGTCTGATCTAATTGTTGTGATGCTGGAGTAGGAGAATCTGGGTTCTAGTGCTCCCATGGGAAGAAAGTAATGGCAAACCACTTCTGAAAATATTGCCAAGAAAACTGGATGGATTTGTCCATGTACTCACCAAGAACCCAGATTGACAAAAAAGGCACACAAACACAAATACGCCTTGGAGAATACCAAATTAGATGGTTTGAAATTACAGAGATTTGAAAAAGAAAAAAAAAGATCAAGAAAGAAAAGATAGAGGTGCAAGAAAAGTAAAAGTAAGAAAATGGAATAAAAATCACAAACTAAGTAAAACATCTTAATCACAGAAATTATTTCTGATGACAGCTGCAATGTTTTCCAACTCATATCCTTTTTAATTTCATACCTTAAAATAATTGTTTCAAAACATAATAGTTCATATCAGTCTAGATAACACTCAAATATTTCACCTTTTTCTCAGTTTTGAAACCAATTTTTTTATCAGATCTTTCAAAACGTCAAACAAAAAGAGCCAGTTTAAATTGTTAAATATATGCAGTGGTTTTCTAACATCTGATGTATTTATAAGTACCCAAGTATTTCTGTCTGCCCTCCACACAGCTGCATAAGCTTTACAGAGATAGCTCCTAAATCTTAGATTCCAAACAAATGTGGGAGAAGTGGTAAACTCCATTATTACTATAATTGTATGAGGTACTTTGTCTATAAAACTCAGGGTGGCATTCCATTTTACCTTTTCAGGAACTTATAAAGCTAAATGATATGACATGTCTCAGAAGTTATCCAACTAGTATCATTGCCAAACCAGAATTTGAACCTAGATATTTTTGGAATTATTATTCTGATAATGCAAAAAATCTTCATGATTTGTTATGGAACTTAGTGGGTTCACAGGATTTTACACTAGCCACTGCACATCTGATTCCATATTGAGTTTTTTTTCTTGTTTGTTTGTTACATTTTATTAATATAGAAAACAAGGTCAAGCGAAATAAATTTCTGCTTTCTCTTTTAGCCAGCACTCCTTGAATTAGATTTATTGGAGAGCTTGAAGTTGGGGAGAGCAGAAAAGGATTATTTTGGACTTTGAAAACAGTGCAGAACTGATGCAAGCAAGGATTGGGGAAAAAATAAAATAGCACGTACCTAGAAAACCTCTATATTTCTACTAATTTTGCATAGGTCGTTATAATTTTAGTCTAATGTTCTTTCAAATTACATCTCATTGATTTAAAAAAGGCACCATTAAATGTTTATTATTTTTTCTCACACTAGAAGATATTCGCACTCAAGAACTTCAGATAAGTTGAGACAAGTCCTTAGACCTGCAGAAGACAAATCAGACTATGTCCAGATCTGAGGAGCATTTGAAATAGGCTAGGCAGGGTAATCCATAGGGATCAATACTGACTCCCAAAAGCTGATGGGATTCTTCAATGTTATTGTTATTCTTAGTACTATTAGTTAAAGTAATACTTATTATTTTCCTATAATAAATGGTCAATGAACAATCTGAAACTTCATGAAGCAGTTGATGAGTTGAAGAGTTTGGGGATTAGTGGGATAAGCAATCCTTGCACGTCCTTATTCTGTGCAGTGGTGTATATCCTTATGGAAAAGCTCTCGACCTTTATAACTATGTAGCTACTGTATTTTTTGCCATTTTATTAAAGCCCCTGTGGGTAGCAAAACTATAACAATGTTTCTTCGTTACAGTGTTTGAATCTCAGATTGTACCGTCTCTCTGCAGGAATTCAAAACAGGATTGTCCTATTTCATGCTCATGAACAAGGCTGCATATCTGGAAGAGAAGTTTTTCATTATGATAGATACTGCATGACAAAGATTAGCCTCAGAAATTCTGATTTAAGTTGGAGTTCCTTGCAACTGCCATCTGGAAATGTCACTTTTCTTTAAAGTCACAGAACACTCCCTGACTAGTTTCACTCTGTGTGAAATCATCATAATAAAACATCATGACTGATTCCTCATAGTAATTTGTACTTGTGCAGAGGAGCCAATACACTGAGCAGAGAGCTGTGTTTTGTTCCCTATTACAATTTGTCATTCTGAAACAAGTGGAGGTATAACATAATGAGGAAGACTAGAAGTTGCAGATGTATGGACTTCAATTTCCAGAATTCCCCAGCCAGCTGACTGTTGCTGAAAATTCTGGGAATTAGCCTATATCAATGATAGCGAACATTTTAGGGACCGAATGCCCAAAACCTGGCCCCGCTCCCGCCTCCCCACCCCACCCACTTCGCCTCTGCCCTGCCCACTCCACCCCTGATCTGCGCTCTGCCCACCCGCAGGGCCGCCACCACCTCCACAGTCCGCCACTGATCACCCAGCAGCCCAGCAGCGCCATGGCGGCCACGCTCTCTGCCCGTGCTCCGCAGCATCATCTGAATGTGACAGGGTGCGAGGGCAGAGTCTTGTCCCCACTGCCCGACTGCCATGTCCTTGGCTGCTCTGCGCAGGCTGTGCTTGGGCGTGATTCTCCGGGTGGGCTGCTGGTGAGGAGGGGGCTGTGGGGGGAGGCGGGACTGGGGCAATGGTGCGCATGCTCACAGACAGGGCTCTCAGTGTCACCTCTGGCACGTGTGCCATAGGTTCACCACCACTGGCCTATATATTTGAAGGGCATCAAGATTTGAGAATACTACTTTGCCCCCAAAGTTTACTGGGAGAATAAAATGTGCACTGGGGGAAGGTGGGCATGGTGCCTTGAGTTCTTAGAAGAATTGCAGGGTATAAAATTTGGCAGTCTGTGTGCTCAGGATTTAACCTTAAAGACCAGAAAAGAACAGGAATGTCAGATTTACCATCTGATAGACATAGATGTTGTATGATACCTTGACTAATGTCCTTCTAACTTCTATGGATGCTTATTCCTCCTACTGCAGAAGAATTCAGTGGATTAGTTTCTGGTATTCTTAGACCTGAGAATATGAAGACCTTAGTAGGTGATCGATGAAGAAAAAGACAAGAACAGCAAAAAGAAATATCAGCAGAGTAAAGGAACTCAGTATGGATCCTGAAATAAGAAATGATCTTCAGTGGGTAGCCAACCACACTGATCAGGACAGCAATGAATACCCAATTACAGGCTTATGTCTTTTTATGATATTTTGAGTAGATTCTCCTTTTGGCTTATCTTGTTCAGTTGGATTAAGAATTTAGCTATCAATTTTCTACTCTCCTCTCGCTCATATTTTCTTTTGCTTCAAGAAGACTCTGACCTCAGTAGCACAGGGTTGCCAACTCTAGAAAGCAGCCATTCTGACAATAGGGTAAAGTAGACCAAAGACTTAGGCTGACCATTTATTGATTCAAAGCTTTCTACTTGCATGTATATGTTTCTATGTTGGAATTGGACAAAAGAAGCTACTTTATATTAGTTACATTTTTGACTATCCAGACCAGTATTGTACATATTGGCTGGCAGCAGCTCTTCATAGTATTGGGTCTTTCTCATCCCAGTTTCTCTGATTCACTGGAATATCTTTTAACCTGGGGTATCTGACAGTCCACATACATATACTTTCTCTATGGCAGGGGTCTTCACACCTGGCCCTTTTATGACTTGTGGACTTCAACTCCCAGAATTCCTCAGCCAGGCATGCTGGCTGAGGAATTCTGGGAGTTGAAGTCCACAAGTAATAAAGAAGCCAAATGTGAAGACCCCTGCTCTATGGGGTTTATGATAACTCATCAGGACCAACTTGCCACAGCCAACTTTCTGTGGCCAATTTGCAGTGGAATGACTCGCTGCAAGACAACTTGGCATGGCCAATTCACAGGACAACTTGCCATGGGACAAGAGTTATACTAATATTGAAGAAATAGTGGAATACAATGATTAAAGAAAAAATGCCAAAGGAAGGACCAAATGAAATGTGAATGACAAAAATTAAAATATTTTTTAAATCATTTTAAACAATTGAATTGTTGAATTGTGCTGCAGTGAGTTGTCCCATGAAAAGTTGGCTGTGGTGAGTTGTCCCATTCCATTCCCTAGGAGCCATATAATTCCCCATTGTAATTTTGGTTTATGGCCAATAGATGGATGGCAAACAATTTCTGAAGAGTAATGCCAAGTTAGACAATTGTTATTTTAAGAAAAATATAACTAACCTAGGCCAGGTCCCCTTCTGTCTTGACTACTGTAGTATGCTTTGCATAGGGCTGCCCTTGCTAAATATCTGGAAGCTTCAGTTGGTTCAAAATGTGGCAGCTTATATGGTTCTGTACAAGTCTAGACTTGTACAGTCTAGAAACATTTGTACATGTGTCACTCCTCTTGCATTCATTGCTGATTTGCTTTCAGGTCCAATTCAAGATGCTGGTTGTCACCTTTAAAGCCCTGCATAGCTTGGAGACAGGTAATTGGAAGGGCTGTCTTTTCATCTGACCCACCCGAGCAGAGACTCAGTGTATGTCACTGTCCCCTCCATTAAGAAGATTTATCTAATGGTCCCAAGAAGAAGGGTTTTCTCCATGATAGTTCTCTCCCTCTGGAACACCATCCCCATGGAGATAAGATTGCCCCCACCTTGATACTCTTTCAAAAGCCCCATGAACCTGGGCACCCCAGGGTAATAAAGAGCACACCAGGGTTTATTGGATTTTGTATTTGGGATGCTATTTCTTTGAGTTATCGTGAGTGCGTGGCCATACAATTTTTTAAAATAAATAAAAATAATATCCTAAACAGAAAGCCAGTTTGGTATACTGGTTAAGGGCAGTCACTTTCTTTCAGTCCTAGGAATAAGGCAGTGGTAAACAACTTCCCAAAACTGCAGGGACTAATCAGACATCAGAATTCTGGATCTCATCAGAACAGTAGAATTCCTATATTTTCAACAGTTCTATTCATTTGGACACTTGCTTATTCAGACATTTTAATCTATACCCTCCACAAGTTCATTCTGATCAAAAAGTGCATTACAAAATGCACTCTTCCGGTTATATGTTGGCTCCCAAGTCTGTCACCAGGTGGCAGAGAGAGTCTATTGTGTTTGTGATTGGCACAATGCAGCGCATCAGTGTTCTTTTCACTGCATCCTTTTCATGTTGTATAGGAGCGTAGAGAGCACAGCTTCACTCAGAGCTGGTGCTGCTTTGGATCTTGCTGACCTGGGCTCTCTATGCCAGTCCAGAGTAATGAAATTCCACCCTCTTGGCTCCAACAACAAAGGCATTTCTATGACCATCGGATGGTCTGACCATATAGCAGCTGCAGCTTTCTTTTTCTTCTCTTCTTCTGTAA